TTCGAGAAACAGATATTGATTATTCGCACAACTACGTTCTTGCGAACCAGTAGAAGAAGCAGACATCTATTGGAATCCTTTCAAATCACAGGATTTTAACAACTCTGCCGAAGACTAGTTCAGGCCAATGAACTATCATTGATCACCCCCAAATCGCGCCCAATCGTGAACTAAGCGGTCTTCCAGTGTGTCGTCTGGATGAGCTTGAGGAGTTTTCCGATTTTATAACGAACCTTGTCTTCTTCCTCTCCGATGTCTTTGTCTTTAGGTGCTGGCTTTGCTTCCTCGTTTTTCTCGTTCGATATCGGCGGACCGAAACCCTGTACAAGCGGTACCCGTGGCATTCGCTTTGCCGCTTCTGCTTTATTGTCATGAATCTGAAAAACTTTCTTCGTTTAACCGTCACTTTCGACTTCGAGGAATTATCACCTTAGTTTCTCAGTAATGCAAAAGATTCGCAAGGCACAGAATTAGTTCTCTAAAGTTTTACCGAACATCACGGCAAGCTAAAGTTAGCGATCGCATCGGTAACGTAGGAAGGGAGCAGTTCGACAGAGGGCATTTCATACTTTCGCTGCTTCACTACTTTCAGCTTACAAGTCTCACTCTGGTGAAACCTGTGAACTCTTGTGAAGCTGGAGCAAGCTCGTCGAGCCACCATGGTGAAACCTGTCAACTCTTGTAAGCTCACGAAGTATTTTTTTAGATGGCTCTACACATCGATGGGAAGTAGCAAAGTGCAGAATGCCCCCCCCCCCTCTGTCGCTCCCGAACTGAGCCTGTGGGAAGAACGTCGGGGGTAGATCGCAGTTCCAGGATCACTATAAACCTAGGGGTAGGGGAAAGAAGCCAAGATTGGCGCTAATGCAGTTCGATGAAGCCACGAGGCAGCTTGACAACGACTGTTGTGCGAAACTAGGGCTCGCCGACTATGCTTGTGTATGCGCACGCTATGAGTAAGCTTTGGGAGGAGGCGGGTCGGGGAGGATCGGACAAGTGCACATCGCTGCGATAAGGGGACATGTCAGGAGTAATCGGTTTGGCATAGTTCCAGCCCGTTTTTACTTTTTCCCTTGGCAAGCGACAAGGCTTGGTGGAGAACGGGGCTGGCGGCGCGCCAAACCTAGCGTCACTGGCACACCCCTTCATCCGCAACGAACAAGACTGTATTCGCACTGCCCTGAATCAGAGCCGAGCGTACGTCAAAGAAACCCAGGGGAGGGGGGGTCACATTTCGTCGCTTGGGCAGGGAGGTCGTTTATGGCCTGATGGAAAGCATTCGGTTGTGAAGTTTTCCTGTTTCACGCGCCATACCTCCCGCCCGGACATTGCCGGTCGTACTTCTGGAAAAAGTTAAGAGGAACACCAAAACTTCTTCTTGACCCACCTCCTTCTCTCAACTTACCTACTATTTTACCGAATCTTTCGGACCCCTCCCTAGCAGCTTCCAGGAAGTTCACCGTTTTTTTTCAAAAAAAATCATTGAGCAGGAGAAGGTTTTCAAAAAAAACACTGAGCAGGAGAAGGTCCTCTCCGCTCAGCTAATCAAAGTGGTGGTTATACAGCAATTCGCGACACCCCACCTATGGAGGAGGGGGGGGAAGGGGGTTGGGCCACTGTTACTAGTGAAAAATTGGGATCTGGCAAATGCTTTATTGAAATTGTAGGCTACTATGGCTGTGACTCAAATATGCACTTGCCCCTCCTTAGGCACACAGCGGCTTATCTGATTCAGGTGCTCTGCTCAAACTGGCTTACTAGAATCGCACTCATAAATGAAGGCAAATAAACAAAAAAAAAAAGACTCACCGTACTTGCGTGATCCACGACAGCAAAATAAAACACTACACATATCCATACAACTGGTACCAATATGAATATTTTGAAAAATAGCGAACGTTTCCGCGCTGGTAACAACATGGCCGGGAATCTTCACAACTAGATGTATATAAAAAAGAATTAGAGAATATATAGAGGTATAGCTAGAATACGCAGAATTACTAGAGAAGCAGTATTAGGAGCAGTATGAATAGGTCCAAATCAGAGCTGCTCGGAGGTGAACGCTGACGGCGGCAGACGACTGGAGGCGACCTGCCGTAGGTTTCGTTCTTGATGGAATAACGTTCCCTCTTTAATCTGCTGAAAAAAATCAACTTGTCGGCTTCTGTTGAAAAACGTGGAACTGATAAGAATCGATCGATAAGGCGGAAATGCGGAAATGACGAACGATAAACTGCGCGTTTCACGAGGTTTAGGGTCTGGGTGACCATTCCCGATCGGGAAAGTACCTTGGATGATTGTCCAGCTACAAGCGCAGCCTGATCTTTTCCCATTCGGGAATGTTCCTCAGACCGGGAATTACCACTTTTCGAGAGCAATTAGGAATGCGATGTATTGCGTTAATATGACGGCGACCATTAAGCACAAAATGGGCGGAACGCTGTGGACCAGCAACCAAAATGGACCAAACATTCTGCCCATTTTCGAGGAGCTACCCTTGGGAATGGGCAGAATGGAGAGCCTCTTCTAGCCAAATCCATAGGATTCGATAGCAAAGTAACAGGCGTCAGTGCCAGTAACTCGAGAAAATGCACGATGCAAACCAAATTGAAAGCACAGTCCACCGGCCACGCCCCTATCGCTATTGGTAGTAAAATGACAATTTCTACAACGAGAACAGAATTTGTGAACCAGAGCGATTCAAAACTTGAGGAACGAAAAGAAAAAACTTAATTCGCATAATATCAAGAATGACAATGAATTCCGCCTGCTCCACAATTTTTTTTCGAGAGTACAACAGAAAAATGGAAAATATTGAATTCGCACACATTTTAAGCCATAAAAGACATCAAAGAACATCAAATAGTATAAGTAAGTGAAAGTTAGTAACTAGCTAGCTAGAATCGAAATAAGCCCGATAAAGAAAGCAAGAGTCATGTGATACACGCGAGGAGACGCGAGCAGCCGCGTAGCGTTAAGATGCGCTACGCAAACGTTCACGTACTTAAGGGCAAAACATTGCGAAGGCGTTGAGTTGACTGTGCCATAACTCTCCGTTCGCATATATGTATGCTGGCCTGGCGGGTGACCACAATTGGTGGAGAACAGGCTGGTCCCACGCCAAACCCAGCCCCGCCCAGCGTCCGCAGCGAACAAGACAGCAGCTGAATGCATCTCAAAGCACCTAACTGATTCAGCATGGAAGTTCGGTATATCGAGTCAAGGTGGCTTACTCACATATTGCAGTGCGTTCATGTTGAATCGTGGATCCCTGAATGACACATTGTCCTTGATAGGCCCTCCGGTGTCCTAGAATCTTTGCAAATTTGAAGCTGAGCGAAATCAGCGGAAAGGATGATGGGGAGCGACAGTATGTGACAAGGCAGTCGTAATATACTGCCCTGGTGGGCGTGGCAAACGACGCCCCACACAACGGACGAGTTGTTCTGCCTGCGTTTGAATTTAAATGTTGAAGGGATGGGAAATTTCGATATC